TTAACCATATATAATCTCTAAATAAGGACAAGGAGCTCTGGTAGCATAGTGGCTAAAGCACTTGACTGCTAACCAGAAGGCTGGCAGTTCAAACTCACCAGCCACTCCTCGGAAGGAAGGTTGGGCAATACTACTTCCATAGTGATACTACCTCAGAAACCCAAGGAGGAGTCGCTATGAGTCGGGACCAACTCGACGGCACATAACAACAACAACAACAAAGGGCAGTTATAAAGTCATATTTGTGTCTAACATGATACGCTAACACACATACAACCAAAATGCATTAACCTTATTTACATTTCACAGTTCAAAACAGAAGGAAACAAAAATACTTGGTGCACATATACAATGAAGAAATTACAACAATCACAGTCCTCGCTTCTGCAGCTGGTCACATGGCCATAGCTGATATTCAGAACTACCGTCTTCCACCACCCATTCTGTATTTCCCTTGCCCTCAGCAAGCACCTCAGCTGGTCATGGCTCTTTGCCTGGTGGGGTGACCCAAACCTTCATTCCTGAAGGGTCGGGGCCATTAATAGTCATATCAGAATTGGGTTGCTGTACTTTTCCATTGACTTTAATCACAGGGTATAGTAGTACTAAGAAACATACTAAAGAATCTCCTGTATTCCAGACATACTCTTCTGTACCTCCATTATGTAATATCAATCCAATTTCCCCTTGGTAATCAGGATCTATCACACCAGACAGTACAGTAACACTCTTTGTCTGTTTATCCAGAGGCATGAGGAAGCCAAAATGGCCAGGTAGCATTCTTAACTTCCAGTTCAATGCAATCAGTATTGTGTCTCCAGGTGGGAGTGCTCCTCCCTTTGGGACTCAGATCTCCAGACCCACAGACCACAGGGTAGCAGGGACAGGAAGCAAAAATTATTTGAGTAGGTCAATAGGGGTAATAGTGAGTGGTACCACTCTTATTTCCACTTCTTGGTTCCTGGACCCATGAATCCTGGCTATTGGAGAAACAGCACCATATATTGGACACTGGTTTAGAGCATATGCAGCCTCCTGGAGAACATTGCCCCAACCCTTCCAAGTATTGCCACATAGCTGGCACTGCATTTGTGTTTTCAGCAGGCCATTCCATCATTCTATCAAGCCAGCTGCTTCTGGACAATAGCGAACATGGTAAGACCAGAAAATTCCATGAGCATAGCCCCACTGCCTCACTTCATTTGCTGTGAAGTGAGTCCCATGATCTGAAGTAAAGCTGTGTGGGATACCATAATGGTGGATAAAGCACTCTGTAAGTCCTTGGATGGTAGTTTTGGCAGAAGCATTGCATACAGGGAAGGCAAATCCATATCCAGAATAAGTATCTATTCCAGTAAGAACAAAATGCTTTCCTTTCCATGATGGAAGTGGCCCAATGTAATCAACCTGCCACCAGGTTACTGCCTGATCACCCCAAGGAATGGTTCCATATCGCAGACTCAGTGTTGGTCTCTGCTGCTGGCAGATTGGGCACTGAGCAGTGGTGGTAGCCAAATCAGCCTTGGTAAGCGTGAGTCCATGTTGCTGAGCCCATGCATAACCTCCATCCCTGCCCCCATGGCCACTTTGTTCATGAGCCCATTGAGCAATGACAGGAGTAGCTGGGGAAAAAGGA